AAAACACAGACTTACTTGTTGAAAACCCAATCGACAGGGACTTTGATTTAAAGAACAGTGACTACCAGAATCCAAAAAAGCGTGAGATGAGAGTGCCTACTTTGAATATTTCGTTGATATCTGTAGATGCCCAAGACACTTCAAAAAATGAAAATGTATATGTTTAGGTACCTATCCAATTACTGAAATATTTTTAAAAATATAAATAATTTATAAAAAACCAAAGGACACATACTTCACACGGTAAATGGACGTTTTGTCCCTGCCCTTCCATCCCTATAAAAAAACTAGTCCACACAGTTTTGTCATTGATTATTTTAACGGGCGCGATTTATTTTGCAAGTTGTGCTCCTTTTGTAGGTGTGAAGGTAGGATACAGATGACAATTTAATGTATATTTAAGCAACGATAAACCATTGCTAACGAAAAACAATTTTGAGCGGGGTTCTGTTAATAATGTTGCTCTGTTAGCAATATATACATATTATGATTAAATGATAACAACATTGACATTTAAAATATTGTTAAAATTATTTTTCTTATTTCTTATTTCTTAGTATGTGTAATTCTTTTAAAACTATATATGAATACTGCAAATTTTGTTTTGTGTATTTAATAGTTCTGTATTATTATAAAAACCTATATAATTATGGTTATTTTCTAAAACATGTTTAGTGAAAATTGAATTAGGAGCAGTCTTTTTTTAATTTTATTTGAGTAATGTGTTCTTTATATCTTATTTTAAAATTTCTATTTGTCTTACCCATGTGAAATGTATTATAGTTACCCTTAAGTTATATATACCGACATTTTCAAAAGAAGGATTTTTTTTGAAGTTTTTAATTCTATTGTTTATATGTTTGATTAAATTATCATTAGTCTTAGAAGTGATTTTTGCATTATTTATATTATTGTTCAGAATTTTAGCAAATTTGTTTGATATATTATTTTGATATTTCATACTACAATAATAAACAACATTATTTGGTAAATTATATTTTATTTTTTTCTTTAATACGTTTACACATTTTTTTAATAGTATTGAAATTGAAATTGTTTCTATGACTAATTATGCCTAAAACACTGCCCCTAATTCAAATTTCAAATTTGTTCTCTATGTATTCCTTCATCTATTCATATTCAGGCGCGTTTTACTTTTTGATTGTGATTTTACCTTACAGTGTATTTTTAATTTGAAACTGTTCATAGGATACACATATCATGTGCTCCAGACGGAGCATTTATTTATTTATACATTTATTTACAAGTATTAACCATTTAATCATTTTGTTTTCACTTTATTATTTTATTAATTATAATGAGACACATAATATGAGAATAATATGTTTTTAGAAAATACAATGCCGGGAAGGATTGCAATTTACTTGTGAAATGTGATGTTTGGATCGCCGTGANTAATATTGCTGGTTAAGGTTAGGTTATTTTAAAGACATTACACATACTTTCCTCTTACATTGTTTAATTATTTAAGTACATTTAAGTTGTTCATTCCCATACCTAATTGGTGCCTTAATCTTTCTCTTGGGTCTTTTCTTTATTTCACTCCCATTGAGCTCTGATTTATTTCCTTCAACCTCGCCAAAAAAAAGACACAAAGTAACAATTTTAAAACACAATATAACTGCGGTGGCCAAACCGGAGATCACCGATGATTTAAATGTCAATCTCTATTTTGTTATTTAGTATGACGCAAAACATCATTTAGTTAAACTTTTTAGTTTTATTATTTTGTTTGTGTATGTTTATTATTAATACCTATTAAGTTTAATTGTTAAGTGTTAGGAAGTTGATCCTTAAAGGAAAAATATATTCTTAATAGATCTTTAATATAGAAGTTTGGCCACCCATCTAATATAAAATTAGGATGTTTAGATAAACATATGATTGAGGCTAATTTAGAAATAGAGAACTCTTACCCTAGACACGAGGTACAGTTGAAAATATGATACTATTTAAGATAATAGAGGGTTCATAAATGATTCATGATTTATCTACTGCTTATACCTTCAATGTCAATTCAAATTGTGAAGTTTCATTAAAAGTATTCGAACATCTTTCAACTACTAATAAAATATGCTTATTTTTGATTTACAATATTTTTATTGTGTTATAGTTTCTGACTTTAGTCTTAAGAAACCTGAATCTGAGTTAGAAACAACACCCACAACACAGGACATATCCTATTATGATATCATATTCAGATATGATTGAAATTTATTTTTTAAAAGTAATAATAATTAATAATATTAATCAATTAGTTACAAAAAAAAAAAATAAAAAATATGTATTATAAATTATTTATTTAATATAAGATAAAATCAATTATTAATAAAAAAAAAATATCAATTATGGTAGAGAATAAAAAAAATTAATTGAATATTTCTGAGCTGATCAGTTCAATTTTATGAAAATACAATAATTACTCAACTAAATTAGTGAATCAAAGTGAAATTTTGGGTGACCTCTAAAAAGAACTAGATAGAAAAAACAGTAGATAATGGGAACGGGTGCAGCTATTGATTGCAAACAATTGATGGCAATTTAAAAAATTTCAAACAAATCTAATAATGAAAGTGCTATAATGAATATGCTCATTATTTGTATTATTTTTATACATGGGAACTAAACAATATAGACGTCTACATAGATATCTTATCTGCCCATATATAGCCGATAAAACGAGCCAGATTATTTATAACTTCGTGCAGCGAAAGTACCGTACGATTTTGTTTATAGAATAGATTATATTCTATAGAATATAGCTTTAGTACGTATTAAGTAAAAAAATAGAAATATGCTCTTTTATGAAGGGTTTTTATATGAAAAAGTACGAGAACACAAAAATATAACGTACTACAAATGTTCAGAATACAAAAAAACTCATTGTTAAGGTCGGGTGCACGTAATCACGTTCCAAATAGTGCAAAAATCAAGCCAACATATATTTCAAAAAAGAAAATATTTATTACAAAAAACTCTTAGTACACAATCCGTTTTAGGGAATGCAGTTATGCAAGTAATCTTAATATAGTAATTAAAATCAAACTAAATTAGGTAACAAGTGCGTTGTCCGCAGAATTATCGAGTGTGAATATTTTGAAAAGGATTTCAAGGAATTCAACATGCACGTCAAAAGGAAGAAGCTGCTCCAGCTCATCCAAGTAATTTTGAATTTATTATACCTGATCGATACAAGTATAACTTCAATGGCAAATTATTTTTAAAATATGATTTTTATTGGACTGAATCACGAGCTTTAATATTTACAACTAAACAAAATTTAGAATTTATGAACCATTGTGATAACTGGTTTTATGACGGAACATTTTTAGTAACACCCCCCAATTTTCACTCAGTTTGACACTATACACGGGGTACGTTATTCTAATGTTCTTTCTAATTTTTATATATTACTACCAGATAAGAAAGAATGTACCTATCGTCATATGTTTGAAAATTTAAAATTATTTCATCAAATTTAAATATGAATAAAAATGTTTAATACAAATGGGCATCGGCATTAGCATTTCAATAAGACATCTATGTATATATTATTATCTATGGTTATCTGTCTACCCGTATCAATTTATATACACACGAAGAAAATATCGTGTTTAACCAATGTGGTTATAAATGGTTGGTACTTAACATAATATAATAACTACCAGAAATACCATGGTTGTGGTCAAAACCTTATAATAATGTTATCGTAAATTAATGTAACAGCAGATAGAATTTTCTAGGTTAAAGTTTTTATTTTGTATTCATCACAGTGGACAATAACATAGGAATTGCTGCTAATGCTGTGAAATCTTGTACCAGAAATTCATGAACACGGACGATCGTCGTATGACAGCAATGGCAATCCTGCAGTCAGTCAACTGCCGAATTACTAATCCTCATCATACTCTCCTAGTACCAATCGCGTTGGTTTTTGTTACTTTACCATAGTTTTGAATGTAAAAATTTAAATTAGGTTCATGCTGGTGATGGAAACGGGTATCTAGTACCATGACAAAATATCTACTTTGTAATATGAATGAAAATTTTTTTTTAGAAAGCATCCACGGTTTTATGGATATTGGTAATGAAAATACAATGTGAATTATTAATTATTTACCAAACGATATGTGATAATTGATAACACTAACGATAAATGATAAACAATTGATTACTGTAACTTTTGAATTTAGTTATTACAAACAGAAGAGTAAAATTATTTAGATATATCTTAATGAAGTGCACTTGCGCTATCTAGTGTTAAATTTCGAACTATTGAGTATTCTTTCTTTTTATAACATTACTCCATTAATTTCTGTGGTATAGACAACTCAAATTACATATCAGCCTATTAAATTATTATTATTATTATTCCAAAACAAGTAAGTTTTGTATTTCATGCTCATACCACAAGTAATATACTAAATATTATTTCAAAAATGCGTGTATATTTGTTTTTAGTTCATTACATCAATGCATTACAAAGGAATAAAGAAGAAAAACAGCTTTGGATTACTTCTTAAAATTCGAATAGTAAAAATGTATTTTTTGAAGATTTATGTAATACATTTGTTGCTGTAAATATTACTTGAAAAAATATTTATCCCGAAATTAATTAATATTACATATATGACGCATGCAGTTAATAGAGTTTTAGGGGAAATTGTTGAATTGGNATGTCGGGTATACCTTTACCATCTGAACCTATATATAAGATGGGGAACATGGTTAAATGGTGCGCTTTTCTATACAAATAATTTTGAAGAGTTTATAAACGTGATTGAAAGTTTAACAGATGATTCTACAGTGTTGACAAGCTGAAACAGCTAATAATCCAGTCAAATGTGGTTTAGCATTCATAAAATTACACTTATCTGAGTTATCCATGAATCTTAAAAACCATTTGGACTCAAATTCGTTGTTAAGACTGACCTTCGAGGTTAGTAAGAACGTATCTTTAAATAAATATTGTTAAAATCATTTTTTTAAATTATATATCTATAATTGTTGGAAAGCTGCAATCCCAAAATATTTTATTGAGGTTTTGTGTATACCAGTTTTTTAAGTATACACCCTTAAGGATATAGATTATTATGCATATAAAATAAAAAGTTATTTTAATTATATAAAATATATGTACATAAGATAACACATTTCATAATTTAATGTCTATCAAAAGTGGTTATCAACCGTTCGTTTGCTGAACTGCTAAAGACAACACTACAGTGTTGCCAAACACTGCATCCCTCTCTGCTTTATTTTTAATATTACAAAATATAATTAAAAGATTAAAATATAATAAACAAAACAATAACCATATTACTTAGGAGTGTTACAATATCGTTATGTACATATAACATAATTATTATCCTTTATTTTTTTTTAATAAAAAACAATAGTAATGAATAATAAAAAATACAAAGTAAATAAGTACATTTAATTTGTATAGAAATCCATAAACTTTTTTGGTTTCATTACAAAAAATGTATAAAAATGGGTTTATTTTCGTTGTTTTAAAAAGTTGCGACACATGCTTTGAATATAAAGCCAATAGATTATATTAGGGAGAATTTTTTCACCGAACAATATTTGTCATAATAATATTTTTAACATTAAAATCTCTGAAGTTCAAATTTGAATAATTTCCAGTTTAATGTGATAGTCGTTGATATAATATTCGAACGATATTGAAAACTTCGTACCGAGAACGAGCGATGTGATGACGGAGAAATTCGATTATATATTATTTATATTATCGTCTGTTATCTTTGACGCGCCGTCTGATATCCGAGTATTGTTGGTGATGCGATCCTTTCTCCCATAAGTCCGCCGACGCCATGAAAACGACTATTGATGAACTGCGTGTGGTATTTACACAGATTTGTACAATTCCGGCTTTTCGATTTTTTTTTTACTCCGCTGGCTGACGCCGATCTTTTTGATTTATACAGACGACTGCTACAGGGTAAATGTATATTGAAACGCGTATGAACGCGTTTAGTCTTCGATGGACATACCCTACAGGTGGACAGATTAATCGTATTATAACAAAGAAAAGGTATAGACATCGTTGTTAACATAACATCGACATAATCGCAGNACAGACGACTGCTACAGGGTAAATGTATATGAACGCGTTTAGTCTTCGATGGACATACCCTACAGGTAGACAGATTAATCGTATTATAACAAAGAAAAGGTATAGACATCGTTGTTAACATAACATCGACATAATCGCAGAGCATGTGGTTTTTGTAAAAGGTTTTTTTTTTTTTTTCATGTACAAGTATCCTACCCACCGTCGCCGAGACGTGATTGTAACAAATGAAATTTAACGCGGTCGTATCTTCGGACTCGCTATAGTCCGATAATTTAATATTTGGTTCGGCCGTATCAACGAAAAAGAAAAAAATAACAAAGAATTATACATATAATATTTATGTTGACAATGGACACAATATAACACACGTATACATTTTCGGTTTTCTAGAAAACGTGTCCTAAATAATACGAAAATAATACAACAATATGGGTTCGATACATATTATATTATTTTACTACGTATTATATTATAACCGTATTGTGAAAAGAAGCAACGAAAACAAATGCAAAACGTAAAAGGTTCGTAATAGCTTTGATTGTAACCGAATATTTTATTATAAAGGAGGTTCTATGTCGTATTCGTACTATATGTGTCGTCCAAAGACAAACGAAGGAGAAATAATGCGCGAAAAATCTTCATGTATTTAGAAACAATATGCCAAGTGTGTACTCAATTTATTCTTTAAACAGTTTTATCACGAGTACTTGATAGATCCGAGCAAAATTGCTGGTAGAAAAGTTATTCACAGAGAAAAAAATAGTTATATTTTACTAATATATTTCGTACATCTTCCCGATTTTCCTCTGTTTTTTTCGGATTTTCACATTTACTAAGAAAATCGAAAAACGACCTCTGCAATGTATTCCCCACAAATAAATAGTATTGAATTAACAAAAAAAAAAAAAATTAATTACGAATGGCAAACACTCGGTGAAAGACGGTAAAAACACTCTTACCATAAAAGAAACGTGTATATACCGCCAGTGCAGGTATATATGTATGTACGAATATGAAATTGTATAGTAGTGTTCCATAGGTCGTAAAAATAAACATTTTAATTGAAAACTAATTAAAAATTTTAATTTCAATAGGAGGGTTTTTTCTGTGAAAAATCTCTTTTCGGACCACTGTGCATTGGCAAGGTATTCCACTTTCGGAGGAGAGAAGTGATGCATAATAAACACGCCGCACGTCGTTCTGCCACACACAATTTGCATCATTTTTCCGCATCATCACGTGCATATGGTGCAAAGTATTTACACCAGTTTCAATCCCCTCCCATTTTCCCCTAGGAATAATGAACACATAAATAATAATAATAATTAAAATCGTTGTTAAAATTAATTGAATAAAATGACTTTGATATCGTAAGTTCAATATGAAAATAGTTTCCCACACGGATTTCCAAGGCACAATTCAGAAACAAGATAGATATTATGGTATAGGTACATACATCATGGATAATATTATTATGTTCATTATAGTAATTTTGGTCATTGTTATTCCGTATTTGACATTCGTTCGGAAGTGATCATTAAATCAAATAAAAACAGCAATTTGCGTATGATGGTTTTTCATACATGTTTGGGCGAAGGTGTGCAACGTCTAGTGCAATGAATTGTCCCGTGTATTTTAAAAGCAAGTCGGAACATAAATAACCTCATTTTAATTTCGATTGAACACGAGCGTGTACATAATGGAAATATTTTGTTAACGTTCGTGATATACGAAAATCGTGCTTTTAAAAAATTATGTTTTAATTGCCTGAGTTTTTTATTGTAAAGTTTTTTCGGCGGTGGATTTCGAACGGACGACTTACAATATTATTACACTGCGTCGAACTGTGAACGCGCACGCATGCGCAAATCAATAAGTGGCGGGTGCGCGCCGACAGGCAGTTGTATGCTGTCCCCGTGTATGCTATGAAAAGAGAACGTCACACGATATTTTCGTTTTCTCTGTTTGTCCAACAGCGTGGCGATAATACTCGGTCGATGTGTGCGCAGCTGCAGCCCCCTTTCAAACGCGTACCCGATTTCCCGTGCGTCGTGAATTACAATGAAACATTTTAGACGTCGGTTCGTAGGGTCGTAAATATCACGGATTTCAATTACGGTCACGAGTTTTTTTTTCTAAATGGAATATTAATGGTAATACAAACAATCGTTGACACACAGCTGCCACCGCCGTGTCTCACACCGTATAACCGTCGTCCCTAGCAACCGAGGGCAATTGTACGACGACCCTTCCATCCACTGTCAGCTTCGCAGGACGACGACACCCGGTGGTGGGGTACGAA